TCGCTGGTCTGGTTTGAACCAGCCAGCCAGCTGATCCCCCTCTTATTTCACTGTTCACCAAACCAGCCAACAATGTTTTTCTCTCACATCAATTCAGCCGGAACAGTGTTTTTCAGCCATGTTTCAGACCAGCGAACGGGGCCAATATACTGGAAGACTAAGGGGGTGTTTGGTTCCTACAGGAAATTTTTAGTCCCTGTCCCATCGAATGTTTGGACACATGCATGAAGTATTAAATATAGACGAAAAAAATAACTAATTGCACAGATTGTGGCTAATTTGCGAGACGAATTTTTTAAGCCTAATTAGTTCATGATTTGACAATGTTGTGCTACAGTAAATATGTGCTAATGACGGATTAATTAGACTTAATAAATTCGTCTCGGAAATTAGTCTCCATCTATGCAATTAGTTTTATAATTAACTCATATTTAGTTCTCCTAAATAGCATCCGAACGTCCGATGTGATATGGACTAAAGTTTAGTCCATGAAACCAAACACCCCCTAAAAATTCTCTTGCATCACCCCTTTTTTCTCAAAACCAGTGGACAACATACAACCTTTGTAGCTTGTGTATATATAAAAAAAGAATATGCACCCCTATCATTTTCCAACCTTTGCAAAATATATTGGGAGACATAAAAAAACTGTAACTCCAACAGTTTTCAAAATCTCGCGACTAAAAGATTAAAGGTAATTTTATATCAGAAATCCTAAACTATTTATAAATCACACTAACAACTTTTATAATTTATTTCCCTCTTCTACATTTGCATCAGGAAGCCTGCCCTACTATTTTTTTTCTTCCCCACGTCCTTCCACCTCTAGATTGGCGCGACGATACGCGAGCGTAACTTTACGCGCGTGGGGGTGGTTTTTTCCAAGTGCCAAAAGATCCGAGGTGGGTTTGGAAGTTGTTGGGGATGAGTTTTTTTTCAATCTTGCCAAAATTCCTGGATCAATAGACTGTTCTGGTACTCTTGGAGATGCTACCATGCTTCCAAATGACATGACATGTACATACCCTATTTGTAGTAGTATTTCTCAATAACAAGATTTTATTTTTGAAACTAACACGATTTAAATTTTACTACATATCATAGAAAAACTAAAATGAAAGACCGCCAGAATAGGACGATTCCAGGACTCCACCATCCAAAAATATCCCACGCCCGTGCGCAGTGGACGGAGCGGCGCTCGCCCTCCACGCGCTCCCTCCGCCTCCACCCAATCCCAACCGTCCACGTGTCCCCAACCCGTGACCCCCACGCGCCTATATCTATCCCATTCCTCTCCACGCCAGCTCCCACCGCACAATCCATTCCGGTGCCGCCGCCCAGAATTCACGCGAACGCGCCCGCACGCCTCCCTCCTTGCCCTTCCAGATGATGCTTAGGGTTTCCCCATCCCCGGCCGCCGCCGCGGCCAACCAGCTCTGTGGTGCGGGCGCAACCCCGTCTCCCGTCAGGGTGGCGGCGCCGCGTGGAGGCGTCTCGCCGCCCGCTGGGGCGGCGTGCAGGGCCGCCGGCAAAGGGAAGGAGGTGCTCAGCGGGGTGGTGTTCCAGCCCTTCGAGGAGATCAAGGCGGAGCTCGCGCTCGTGCCCCAGACCCCCGACAAGTCGCTCGCGCGACAGAAGTTCGTCGACGAGTGCGAGGCCGCTCTCAACGAACAGATCAAGTAAGTACTGTTGCCTCGGTGCTCTGCTCGCGTTCCGATTTTCTCTTGCCAGTCGTTAGGATTTCGGTCGGTCGGGCTATTATTAGGCGGGCGGCGTCCTGATATGTGTTGATTGTGGATCGATGCTTGTCTCCCCGCTAATGTGAATGCGTTGCTCCATTGGTTTATGCTAAGTTGTGCGATTTTCCCCCAGAATGTTAGGTTGTTCTTAATCGAGTCACGCGATTGATATCTAAGGCTTAGGCTATTTTTGGTGTTGTCAGTCATGCCAGCCGTCTCTGTGCTTTGATGCGGATTCAATTCAACCAACCAAAAACATGTCAATGTGATGGCAACTTGACCGTGCCTGCTCTTATCATGCAGTGTGGAGTACAACGCCTCCTATGCGTACCACTCCCTCTTCGCCTACTTCGACCGTGACAACGTGGCTCTCAAAGGATTTGCCAAGTGAGTCCTCGCCTCTCGCCAAGTTTTGTTACCCATCTGTAAATAAAGCACGGCATTGCCATTTTGTTGTTCCTTTGTAATGATGTTGTTCTGCACATCTGTTCCTCCAGGTTCTTTAAGGAATCGAGCGACGAGGAGAGGGAGCATGCTGAGAAGCTCATGGAGTACCAGGTTCGTTCGGTCCTCTTAATTTATTTGACCCTTTGGTCCGTTCCGTTGTACCATGCTACATACTTGGGGTACTGACTCGGCACTGCATGTGTTTCTGTTGCCGTCAGAACAAACGCGGAGGCAGGGTGAGGCTCCAATCGATTGTGACGCCCTTGACTGAATTTGACCACCCTGAGAAAGGCGATGCTTTGTACGGTGAGTTGCCGTGCATTTCCTTCTTGTTTGCTGATTCTGACCTCTGGATTAGGATGGGATCTGAATCTCAAGTGCCTTAGAGGAGTCTGCATGTGTGGTACAGCAGAGGAAGTATGAAAAGCCAACTGTTGTCAAAAAGTGTACTTTATTCTGCAATTGAACCTAGTTGTATGAGTTGCAGTTTTCAGTATATGGATGGATGGTAGATTGAAAGACTGGTAGTGAATACTAACAATTTTGCACTGCTTATATATAAATAGAAGGCTGGCTATTGTTAGTAAATGTTTGGTTGGTTATCAGCTAGGTTGGTCTTTTCTAGTTTTGTTCATGTTTGACATATTTGGAAAACTAATCTGATAGCTATGTTTTGATCTGTTCCTTTTTTGATTGATTTCAGCTATGGAGCTGGCTCTGGCTCTGGAAAAGCTGGTTAATGAGAAGCTGCACAACCTGCATGGTGTAAGTTGCTTTCACTCACATGCTTATTTGTGGAGAAATACTGTGTGCTTTGCTTAAGACATACTTAAAACATTTATGGGCAAATATAAATTGAATAACTTGAGTTACTAAATGTTGTTGTACAATTGTGACACGTACAATTTTTCATGAGTTTGCACCTGTAATTAACAGGTGGCAACAAGGTGCAATGATCCTCAGCTGACAGACTTCATCGAGAGTGAGTTCCTCGAGGAGCAGGTAAATGCAACCAAGCATATGTTCCGTATTATATTGAACAAAATTGTGCAGGGCTATATTTTGTTCTATACAGTTTTTGCTCTACTTGCAAGACAATTCTTAGATGAACGAAAATCTTTTATTTTCTTTTGAAAGGTGGAAGCCATAAATGAGATCTCCAAGTATGTCGCCCAGCTGAGGAGAGTGGGCAAGGGGCACGGTTAGTCTGTCGCTGAACTTCGGTTTGATCTGCTATGTCTCGTGCCTAAAGTCACACCTAGTTGATATTGTTGAGATGTTATTTGCATGCAGGGGTGTGGCACTTTGATCAGATGCTGCTTGAGGAAGAGGCCTAAAGGAAGGGCAGACAACTGCTCAAGGACCAAGTAAGGGGCCTGAAGGAAGGAAAGAAGTGTGAAATGATCTGGTTGAGGAATAATTGGCGGCATGGACCAACTGACCAAGCCCTGGGTGTAGGTGGGATTTGTTTTTTCAGTTGGTTAGGGTTTTAGTTGTAGAACAGTGTTGCCCTCCTACAAAGAACATGGTGCACTGAAACGCAGTAGAACATGTGATAGTATTATTGCTGCCGACAGTTTGGGGTGGTCGTTGTTAGAGACTTACCCTTTGGGGTTTTGATTGTTCAAATAAAACATGGTGATGAATGTGTACTCGGATCTACATGCTGCTCTCTTGTGTTGGTCTCATTGGCTTGCACATGGTGACACCTTCCTGTGACTTTGCAAGCACCGAGGAGATGATCGTTGTTAGTGTTTATTGTCTTATTTGTAAATCTGAAGGTAAATTCGTCAGAGCTTATGGCTATTTAGGAGTACTATCCAGGCAACTAGCTCTTTTGAAGGCCACTTGAAGCAAAGCATCCAATTAGTTGTGTTTAGGTTGCCCTGATGTTTGGTGTTTGTGAATTCATGTTTCTTTTTAACCCCTAAAATTCCCTGTATCTACTCTGTTCTTACTGAAATCCTCCTTCCCCAAATCTCTATCTAGATACTTGAGTTCGTGAGAGTCTCGTAGTTTCTGCTTCAAATATGGTGTGCCCTGTCTTCAGTCTGCTAAATTGTGCCATCCTCTCTGTTCTTTTTTTTCAATTCCTGAGTTGTCTAAATCTAATGGCTGCAATTTGTAGATATATTTTTTTCCACCTAGTATGCTCTTGGGCACGTGACGAGAGGAGCATGCTGAAAAGCTCTTGAAATACCAAGTACTACCTCCTCACAGCCCCTAACCGCTGTGATCATATGGTTACTGAAGTTGTGTGACATGTTCTTGTGCTGTAGAACAAACGTGGTGGGAGGGAGGATCCAAATATCCAGTCCACTGTGATGCCCTTGACAGAGTGTGAACATCCTGAGGAAGGCGTTGCTTTGTACAGCGAGTAGTTTTCTGGTAATGGGTCTTTTCTACGTTGCCATTTTCTAAGTATTCAGTAGCGTTGGGTTCACGTCCAGGTGACTGAAGGCCACTGAATTCTCGTCTGTCCCAAAATGAGCCAACTCGCCGTGGCCGTAGTGTCTCGCGTGCGTTTCTGCCGTAAAACTATGTTCGTGCAGCCTGCAACATAACGAAATACGGTCCCGTTGCAACGCAATGGCATATTTGCTAGTATTTTACTAAAGTAATGGTATTTTAAAATAGAAGATGAATAGTAATGGTATTGCAGATTTTTAACGGACTCAATAAAAAACAAAAAAAACACTACGCGACTTCCACCGCCGCCTCCTGGTTCGTGCCGCAGCTAGAGTTCCCGGCCGCCGCCGCCGCCGTCTCCGCCATGAATCGTTAGGCCAACAGGGCGTCGGCGATCTCTCCCACATGGATCATCAGGGCAGGCCACCAGGGCGCCGGCTGCCAGCCGCCAGCAGGGCAGTCCAGGCGAGGGCGCCGGCCAAGGATGCCAGGCCGCCGGCTGCTGGCCGCCAGCACGGCAGTCCAGGGCACCTCTGGCATCCGGGGGGCAGGGCCGCCGTCTCCGCCGGGCGCCAAGGTGGGGCGGGAGCGGGTGGGAGGGGCAGGGCCGGGGCACCGGGGTGGCCGCGTGGGGCCCGCCCACGGACGGGGTGCCTGCGCCAGGTCGTCCACACCATGGTCGTCGAGATGCACGCCGGCCTCGCCTCCGACGGTGGCAGCAAGCTCAAGATGCTGCTCACCTTCGTCGACGCGCTGCCCACCGGGTACATATGGCACCTCTCCGCCTCCCTCCCCCACCTGCCTGACTGCCTGCCTGCCTCCCTGCGGCAGGCCGTTGCCTTCCGCCATGTGCGGCCTCGCGATTCCCTGATTTGAAGCACCTTTTTTTCTTCCGAATCTTGATTAGAACGCACACAGAGTAATGCTTGCTAGAAGAAAGATTAATACGAAGTACATTGTATTATTAAATGAATAGCAGGCAATCTGTTTTAACGGCCTCTTTGGTTTACATAAGTCAGGTTACTAAAAATCAGTGTTTCGTTTACATAAGTCAGGTGATTGAAAATCAGTGATTTATAAGTTATGTCTATTTGGTTGTAGATGACTTATAAGTTTATTAAAGGTGTGGGCTCCACACGAAAAAGGGTGACTTATAAGTTTTAAACAGGGGTGAACCAACTTAAAACTTATAAGCAGGAGTGACTTATAAGTTGTGGTGTTTAACAAAATAAGTTATTTTTTTTCACTTTTTAATTTATAAATAGGTGACTTATTTGAAACCAAATAGCCCCTAAGTCCTACTACTTTTCGAACTGTATATATAGGCTAATGATCGGATTGTGTCCTTTGAAGCTGCTGTTTGGTCGTGCTGTCATTATTGCAATATCAAAATCCACGATTGGAGAAGCTTTTACTGAAAGAGTGTTGTCTGTAGGTATAGGTAGTTTATCTATTGGGAAAGTACACCTATACAAAATTTGGTTCTCTCGTACTTCATATGAACAGTGAATGAGTAACAGGGATATGGGCAACATTGATCGTGTAGGGTCGAATAGGCCCAACTCGGCTAGCAGTGGTCTGGTCACTCGACCACGATGTGCGTGCGCCAACGCCAGCCACCGAGCCGTGCGCATGGTCGTGACGGAGCTGCAGTTGTCACCGCCTCGCTGTCGTGGCGCTCGTCCCACCTTTCATCCTACCTACCGCATCGAGTCTCTAGATGTGTTCCGCTGCCGCCGCGCCTAGGTCGACGACCCCGGTCACTGTGGTGACGAGATGTTTCTCTGCCGTGCCCGCTAGCCGACGCCGGTGAGCCCCGCTCGGGTCTTGCCACTCCATTCAAGCGCGTCGCGCCAAGCCCCGTGAACCGTCACATGTGCGCACATGTTCGAGCTACCGCCATCAAATGGAGCCGCCCGTCTTAATCCGCTCGCCCACGCTTGGGTGCACTCTCCACGGCATTACCACGGCTAGAGCTCCGCCTTTCCGCCCTCCAATTCGCCTAGCTCAGGGCTTCACAGTTCGGTTCCTCGCACCAGTAGAGGGCATAAGAAGGCAACTAGGCGCCCCATCTTCCTCGTGCCCGGCCAAGCGCTACCGACCGCCAATTTAGCATTTTGCTTGCCCCTGGCCATGGGCACCACCGTAGCCAGTGGATCGGGGGTAAGTCTCAATCCGTGGGAAAAGAACCCAATTGGTGGCGTTTCGGGACTCGCGTTGATCCCCTCTAGCTGGTGCTCGTGACAGGTTGGCTTGGTTTCCCATCCTGGGTGCCATGCTCGAAGCGCCGCCGCCCGCTCGGTCACACGTGGCCAGACCGCCCTAGTGCTCCCCTGCTTCAACCATCATTGGAGCATGCACCACGGTGAGCTACTAATGCTTCTCCACCACCTCTACCCTTCCGAGAGTGCATAGGTTTGTCGAACAGGCATGCCGCCGCTTCAACTCGCGCCAATGTGTCCCTGAGTCCCTAACCGCCATCCATGCTTGCGGGTTTAGCCATAGATGGTGGTCGGTCCTTTATTCCTGTCACAGCGGGTCTAGCTTGCCCGTGTAACCGCCGATGCCGCTGGTGTGCCGCGTCGTCGCGCGCGGGTACGCCGAGGACCGCCTCGTTGCGAAGGTAACGTGTTCCAAGGTCCTTAATGTAAAACACGTCTCTCGGGCAATAGTGAACAGAGGCGCCACGTAATAACCGGTTAGTCCGAGGGTTCTTTTGCAAAACGTGAGCACGCGCGGGCCTTTCGGTCTTGGGCTGCTGGGCCGATTAAGTCGCCATCGGCCCTTTTCTTTTCTAAAGCATTTCCTAAATAAGTTTCTAAAACAAAACTTGTAAATTCAATAGAAATTTGTGTAGTTGACCAAAAATTGTGAAACTAATTTTGTTTAGTTCCTAAAAGCATGATCTATCTACTAGTGTACTTTGTTCACATAGTTTCATAGGATTTTCAAGAGTAAACTAATTAAGTGGAAGCACTTAATATTGTTAAAACCTCAACTTGTGTTAATTATTGCGATGAATTGGTGATAGTGTTGGCTCTTGAATTTTTACAGTAAATTCTTGATATTATTAGGTGCTCACTGTAATTTTTGTAGCTCCATAATAATTAATTTGCTAAGCTAGCTAAATGAACCCTAGTTCGAATATATAAATTTAATCAATAAGAAGTCAAACACCTTGAGAATTGCGGAACCAAAACCTTTTTTCTGGAAACGAAGCCTTACTTGGTGATGTAGATACGTAGACTAGTACGTTAGTCATCAAAGCTAGCTCGTTAGCTTATGGAGCGTAATCGTATTCTTAGAGTTGCGGTTGCCGTTGGTTAATTACGTTTTCTACGTTGCATTTGCGAATATCATAATAGGATAACAATGGATCGTGGAGTTGACTGGAGTAGCAGAAAAGATGGTGCCTTGGTGATCGTGTCACCATGATGGAATGCTAATCCTTGCTTACATCTTGCCCAGGCAAGCCCCGGTGCATAACCTCTATTATTCGGCACTTTATTTTATGATTGTGCATTAAGTTTTGAGGAGTTGAATGAAACCCACTTGAATATACATATATCCTTATCCTATGTATCTTACCAGTATGGCAAGATCGTGTAGATTGTTATGCTATAGGATCCGGTAGAAGTCGAGTGATTATATGTCACTCGCGAGAGATAGGAAAAATATTATTATGTACTATCTCTTGAAATATATATGAATGATAATTGGAGACCGGGCGGAATGATACTTTGGATCTGGACTTGGTTAAGCATTCGAGCGAGGCTCGATTGCACTTGTTCCGCCTGTGTCGATTGAGGACCGTCCAGAGCACATACTTGCTTATGGGAGCGGGAAGACTTGTTACTCTCTTGTCATGGGTTCCAGCTCTTTCCAAACCGACTTTAGGGGTGGGAACTAGGTGGAGGTCTAAGCACCACACTAAGACCCGATCTCAGTGTTGGGGGCTTAGAGTCCAAGTTAAGACGGGGACCTGGACCCCTTGACAGGAGTGAGACGAGTTGGTTCCGTTTGTGCCTGGGGTGCAAGCGGGGCGTGTGTTTTGGGGTACCCAGCTGGGATACATTGATTCACGAATTGCCATTTCTGTGAGATGGTACCGACTTGGCTATGGTCCAGCACCGTAGTAAGAACTGGAACCTGAAAGGTAATAAAATGGTTCTGACTGCTTATCCACATGCTTGAAAGTACCATAGGTGCTTACCTAGAATGATTAGCTAAGTAACTAAAATCAACTGCTAAAAACTTGGAACATAAGGATGCACTATTAGCAATGCTTGCTGCAATAGTAATAACCTAGCAAGCCAAACAGCCTTGCATATCCTTAGTCTTTTACTTTCTCCTGTCAGGTAAGTCTTGTTGAGTACATTCGAGTACTCAGGGTTTCATTCCCCTATTGCAAGTGACAGATGAATGCTAGAGCTGACTCTTTTGTGTGGAAACCTCCTGGTGGGCTCAGAGAGGATTTCTTTCACGTTGCGACTGTAGTGTTTACTTAAAACTCTCACTAAAGGTTTTGTAAAAAAAAGGTGTAAAAGATGCTAGCATATCTTGTATATAAATGGCCTCTATGTTAATATTTCACCATTTTAGTAAATTAATCTCTATTTCCGTTGTAACTCTGATCATGTGTTTATTTTTCGCTGCAACATAAAACTTGTAAACCTGAATGGATAAACTCGTTTACCTATAAAATGTTTAATTTCCGTTGTTGCATTCAACTCATTTAAGTACTCTGATGTTGTAATGAAGTGATGTAAGAAACTACTAAAAATGTTGTAAGCTTTATCCTCTCGTTTATGATCCTGATGAAAAATGTGGATTTTCGAGTTCTCCCATTGGGTGTGCTCGACGGAACGGCACGATTTAGTGCACTCTCTTGGGTACTTAGTGTTTAATGGAAGGCAAATACTCTTGAGAGGGCATTAGATTAGGTAGTTCTGCCACACTTGTTAGTATAGCATATGTGTTCTTATTTTAAGAATTGTTGTTGCCTAAATACTAAATCATTGCATCATCATCATCGCATGCATATAGAGAATGAGTCAGCGGAAATTATGACCACCGGCGAGCACGAGTTCAAGGAGATCATCGAGGAGTACGAGGAGGAGATTCTCATGTAGGAGGAGGTCCCGGAGTCGCCACTGACTGACTCAGCTGACACCGCGCCTACCCAAGGCAAGCCCTAGTGCATAACCTCTATTTTTCATATCCACCGTGTATATATATATATATATGAGTTGTGTATTTACGTTATAGGAATTTTATGGAAACCACATGCATATATATATCTACCCTATGAGTCCTACTAGTGCAGATTCGAGTAGGTGCTATGCTTAGGTTGTCGGTAGAGTGAGTAACCTGTTGTTACTCACAATAGGTGGTTATTATTGCTCTCATAATAAAATGATGAAAAGAAAATGTAGACCGGACAGGGATATGGCATGGGTTATTGGTGGGTGTAACATGTGTGTCCCGTGGCCACGGGGCTTAGCTTGGTTACACTGTTTTCCCTGTTCGTGTCAATTAAGGACCATCCGTTGCTGTGGATGGTAGTCAGGTCATAGACTTATAATCCTGAGCACATACTTGCTTATGGGAGCGGAAAGGCTCATTGTGCTCTTATCATAGGTTCCGGCTCTTTTCAGACTGACTGGTTGGAGGCGGGGAAAGGTGGAGGTCCAAGCACCACATTGAGACCCGGTTTCAAGTGTGGGGGCTTGGAGTCCAAGTTTGGACAGGGACCTAGACCCCTCGACAGGAGTGAAATAGGTTGGTCTCGTTTGTGCCTGGGGTACAAGCGAGGCGTGTGTTTCATGGTACCCAGCTGGGATACATTGGTTCACGAATCGCTATTTCCGTGAGAC